ACTGCTGCTACGCTACTAATAATAATAATAATAGTGAACATTGAACAATTTTAAATAATATTGGTAGTTTTTATTACGTTATGTTGTTCAATAATGTTTATATATTTGAAAAGAGGATGTATATTGTTATGATTATGATTATTATTGAGAAAAAATTGAAAATTGACATCATGTGAGTAAATATGAATGTTATGAATGAACCAATCATCTACTATTGATCATTGAATATTGTTTAAAATGTTTTAAATAATCAAAATATATTAAATATTTTTATGATTAAATCATAAAATAAGTGTAAATAAAATATCATTTGTTATGTTTGATGAAGTAAGTGGCTAAATTTAAAGTCTTCTAATTACTATACACATTAATATGAGTGTATGTTAGGGATGCAACTCTGCCTGGAGTCCGCTATGGAGCTACTGCTAGTTCCAAGCCTGGATAAAGGAGGAAGGTTGAGCATGGAAAGGGATTAAGGAGGAAATCACTTCAACATGTCACGAAGTTGTGGGTCACAAGAAGTACCACCAGAAGGAATGGATCTCTGTTGGTACTCTTGAAAAAAATTGAAGAAAGGAGGAACTAGAAGGCAGCAATCAATGTCCACCGAACAAGAGCAGAGAAAGTTACCGCACAAGCTGCATACACAGAAGCAAACAGGGAAGTGAAGAAGAGCATCAGAGTTGACAAACGAAAATATGTGGACGACCTGGCAATGACGGCGGAAAAGGCTGCAAGAGACGGAAACTTGAGACAATTGTACGAAACAACAAAGAAGCTCGTCGGAAACTATCGTAAACCAAAATGACCAGTGAAAAGTAAGGAAGGCAAAGTAATCAGCAACACTTAAGAACAGCGAAATAGGTGGGTAGAGCACTTTAAGGAACTCTTGAATTGACCAGCTCTACTGAACATACCCAACATCGAAGCAACATCCACGGACCTCCTAATTAATATTGGCGCACCTACGATTGAGGAGATCAGTATGGCCATCAGACAAATCAAGAACGGCAAAGCAGCAGGACCAGACAACATTCCAGCAGAGGCGATGAAAGCAGACGTGGAAGCAACTGCAAAAATACTTCAAATTCTCTTCACAAAGATTTGGGATGAGGAACAAGTACCATCAGATTGGAAAGAAGGATACCTGATCAAAATACCGAAGAAAGGCGATCTCAGCAAGCCATCCTCCACAAGATACAGGTGTTCATTAACAGTTTTCTACGCAAAATACTTCAGATTCGTTGGCCAGATACCATCAGCAACCACGTACTGTGGGAGAGAACAAACCAGATTCCAGTGGATGAGGAAATCATGAAGAAGCGGTGGAAGTGGATAGGACACACACTACGAAAAGCACCGAACTACGTCACAAGAAAAACCCTCACATGGAACCCTCAAGGCAAAAGGAAAAGAGGAGGGCCAAGGAACACATTACGACGAGAAATAGAGAAAGATATGAGAAGAATGAACAAAAATTGGACAGAACTGGAAATGGAAGCCCAGGACAGAGTTGGATGGAGAAAACTGGTCGGCGGCCTATGCTCCATTGGGGGTAACAAGCGTAAGTAAGTAAGTAAGTAAGTAAGTAAGTTGGGCATGGAGTTAGCAACCCCATCCCACAAAAAAAAACTAACTTGCCAAAAAAACGATAACCAGAAAACGTACTTCAAACCAAATGTTGTTAGGAATGTGATTCTCCTCCTGCGAATGCAAAACATTACTTCACGAATGGCTTATGTCGGCACGTAAACTAGTGATAAGGAGCAGAGTAGCTGAGCATGTTGATCGCCTCATTTATCTTTAGAGTTTCATTAGTACTGATATCCTGGTGTCTGACGAAATCTCGGCATGGATACAGAAGTTTCAATCAGCTTTTAACAATGCACGTCATTTATGGCATCGGTGGGATATCTATTTGCCAACTATAGGATGAGTTTATTATTCATCAGTTTGTCCTATTCTACTTTACGGATGTGAAAAATAGTCTTAGAAATACAGAATATTCGTCGAGTAACAGTAGTCGATCATAGATGTCTTCATCAAAAACATTGCTCGGATATCTTGAGGCATTCGAGTAAGCATTTCTGGGGTTAGGAAAACAGTAGTATTAGGTAAATATGTCATATAAACTGATGAAGCAATGAATCTTCATACGTCGAGGTGATTGGCTAAATGTACTACGTATGCCCAACCACCGACTGCAGGATCCAAAGTGAGGTCTGGACTGAGGAATAATTGTCTAGGTAGGTTAGATACGCGCTATTGCACAGTTAAAACCAAAACAAGGTGATTGAGTAAATGACGGTTCTAATATTCATCATGAATATAAACATACATCATTACCTAAACAAATATTACCACTCAGTTATTCCACCAACACCACCAACAATTGTTCAATTATTCAAATCAACAGCAACATATAAATGTTATTCTATCCCTTCTAGAGAGATCAGATTCGTTCGACAGATAATATTTGGTCTCTTTATAACACAGAGTGTTTCCTATTCTGGAAGAGTGCTTCAATTCACAATCAAAATGCACAGTTGCAGTTAACGCAAGCGACACAATCAAAAGAGGAACAAATCAATATGGCTGCCTCCATGACTAAGTATCAGCTTAAACAACAGTTCAGAAAGAAACATAGAAACTCAGTAAAGACAGAAGTAATAGAAACTATAATCAAAAATACAAATATTATCATCTCAAAATGGAATTGAACAGACTTCACAAAATGTACAACTGAAGGAATCTCGATAAGGACAAATTACAAATGTATACACAGGAGGGATTTTCACAAACAAAGCCATCAAAAAAATGGATCTTACACCGACTGCCTCGACAGGCTATGCTGTCTGGTGTAGGAGTAGGCTGGAAGAAAGCTCGGGGTGGCCGAACTGAAACAAGGCACCAATCAATGTACCATAGTTTACGATAATCATACCGAACCAAGTCAAAAAATCTATACCTAATAATAACATGGTTCCATTCAAAAATCAATAATTAAAATAAACTGACAGCAAATTATTGTTTAATTGTCAAGAACTTTCTATCGAAACTTATAGTGTTTGACTGCTTATTTCTGATATATATATGTCTAGTCGTTACTAAACAGAATAACGCCCCTAATTTGTCAAGACTATATTTCATATTTTTGATAAGTAATTATTTTTAATTTTCTTGTAATTTTACAAAAATTGTTCTTTTATCAGACTATAATATCTAGACAAACCAATCAGATGAAAGAGTTCTACTGTAAGATTTCAACGTGATATTCAATCATCGATACAGTTTAATATCACTTCGGTATCATAGTTGATTCTAACTCTTCAAGCTAATTATTGAAATCATGCATCAATTACATTGTTCGACCATAACCATTAGAAACTTGGAAGCACTTGAAAATGGCCATTTTTTCCTGATGTGGTGGGATTTTATGATTGTTTAACTCATATCGATAGTACTTTTAACTGGAACTGTACTCAACCAAATTATTGTATTTTGAATTTACTTGTGACATGTCTTCCTGGAGCTTAAAGTCGGTATTTGACTCAGTGGATCGTGAGGTTCTGTGACATTGTCTGTCATTGAGAGATGTGCTAAAGAAGAACATTAACTTTATACAAGCTCTCTACTTGAACAGCACTGGTCGGGTGAGAGCTTATGGCGAACTATCATCGGAACTGTCCACTTCATGTGTTGTCTGTCAGGGCTGTCCAGTCTCTCCATTCTAGTTAAACTTTGTTGTAGACATGCTTTTGGAGTTAACATTATCCTCGTCAGATTTTTCAGGGGTAGAGCTTCTAACAAGAGGATCGCTTATTGATCTAGAATATGCCGATGACATTGTCCTACTTGGTGAAGACGCTGACAAAGTTCAGAATCTTCTGACTATCCTAGGCAACAGTGCAAGCATGTTCGGGATGCGGTTTTCCCCGTCGAAATTATAACTGTTGCTTCAAGATTGGGTTGCATCGGCACCTGAACTAGTGATAGGGAGTGAAGCAGTTGAGCGTGTAGACCGCTTCAATTATCTGGGGAGTCTCATCAGTGTTGATGGCCTGGTGACTGACGAAATCTCAGCACGGATACAGAAATCCCGATTGGCCTTTGCCAATTTACGTCATTTATGACGTAGGCGAGATATCCGTTTACCGACTAAAGGACGAGTGTACTGTGCAGTAGTTCGCTCCGTTCTCCTATATGGTTGTGAAACATGTCCGATAAGAATAGAAGATATTAGTAGGTTACTAGTATTCGATCATAGATATCTTAGAGGCATTGCTCGTGTATCGTAGGACACCCGAGTAAGCAATGCTGCCATTTGGAAACGAGTACTAGGTAGGGATGGCAGACCAATAGATGAAGCATTGAATCTTCATCAGCTGAGCTGGTTCGGACATGTGTTACGAATGCCCGACCACCGACTGCCTCGACGAGATTTGTTTTGTGCTGTAAAAGTAGGTTGGAAGAAAGTTGGGGGTGGCCAGAACGAAACATGACAGAAATCGATAAGGTCACTGACAATCGGATTGAGTTCTGTTGGTAGATGCAGGCTACCAGGTTGGGGTTCGCGAGGCGAAAGTCACCGATGGTTGAAGACTTTGAATTACATTGCTCAGAATCGTTTCCAGTGGCGCAGATGCATCCAGTCTTTGTGTTCTCTGAAATCCTAATCTTCTGGATCCGTCAACACCTCTCCCTTTGTCTTTCAAAACTTATTTCACTGAATAAGACTTCTTGAATAATATCTTCGAACCCTAATCTTCTCTATTACTGCTAATAGTTCTACTGCCTCTATTACTTTGGGATTTAAACTGACAATTCTATTTCTGTGTGCTAAGGTTGCGGTATAGCAACTCGAAGTGATGTACGTACGTATGAAGTTGAAACTGACTAACTGACTAACCAACTGACTGACTGACTGACTGACTGACTGACTGACTGAAATTAAATGTTATCAATACAAATTTATTTCATAGAATTATCAAATAACTTACCAGAATTAACAACCATTACAGTACAATCATTTGATATACTACTAGTTTGATCAAAATGTACATTACGTATTGGTCGATTACATGAAATCATCATTGTAGAATCATCATTTGAATGAATATTATGACAACAGGCTAATGATTGAATCATATTTGATTCGTGTGTACAATGAGAAGTTGAAGAGTATGAATGTGGTATATTGGATGATTGGGATGAGTGAACAGCTGAATGATTACGTAAACGTATATCTGATTCTAAATTTGTGTAATGAAAAAGAAAAGAGAATCATTTAAGTCAGAGATTTAGTGGCGAGTATATGTAAAGCCCTAAAGATAAAAAAATCGATATGACTATCCCATACATCAGTCTGTTACACCTGCACGTAAAAACACGTCAACTTGATATACTTGAACTAGTACGAGTTTACCTAGTGGTCGGAAAACGAGAGCGAGGATCGAGGATCCGGTGATACGATATGCTGCTCTCAAATCCGATTATCCCAATCCCCTCATATTTAGTAAAAAATAAGAAGACTTGAATGTGAAGTAGAACCTGTATTCTACAAGCATCCAGAAAGCACGAGGTCCGAGGCCAGAAGAGAATCAGGATCCTGGACTAGAAATTCGGGACCGGGTCCTGGTCCTGGTCGTGGTCAATAAACGTTACAGATAATGCGTATTTATACATTTTGGTCTAATAAGAAACAGCATCGAATTCTGTGACATTGACAGTTAAGACAACCAATAAGAAGTAACATTTGAAATGACATTGACAGTCCGGATGACCAATAAAAGACAACATTGAAGTATTTGACTTTGACAGTTAAAACGACCATAATTTTGACCAATAGAAATCGACCAATAATTCCTCTTAGGATATTGGATGAATATCCTAACACAATCTTTTCACAATGTGAACATTTCTCCCCATTTCATATTTTAATTTAAGGTTAAATATAATGAAAACTAAAGTTGTAATCTAGCCAACTTATTCAATCATCTCAACAGTCTCATACTAGCTACAATCAGTCTCTCGATATTTTTTAGATCACTGTAAAGTAAGATGCTGAGAGAGTGAGTGAGTGAGTGATAACTAGCTGAGTGATATTGTATATAACGGTTTTCTAACTAGTTCTTACTCATATATGCTGGCTTGCACGAAACTTGGATCATCCCTGAAAATTACTAAGATTAGTTTCAACCATTTAAAACAATACTCTGGAATTTTTCAACCATACCTTCTACCTTGACGTAGTGGTCGGGCTTATCAGTCGTGATGACGCAATCGAGCTACATTAACTGAAACAAATGTCCCTTGAGATTCTTCCATGCCAGGCAAGTCGATTAGACAACAGTAACACTAAAGGCAGCAGCTTAAAATCTGAAGACGATGACGTACTGCTGACTGTAGGGATGTGACAGTAGCAAAGTCTTTCCCGTCTCCGGTGGCAATGCCTTTTAAAGAGTGGAGCTAACAAGTCCAAAACTTCCCATGAAAAGGCTACTCGTGGCCAACGCCAAGCAATTATCCCTTGGCCACTGCAATCATACTCCCAGGTCGCCTAGACCAACGCTATCACAATATCCTTTTCAGATTTCTTTCGATGGTGTGGGGAACCGGAAAGTGATATCTGCCGTGATATACTTAACAGCGCATTAGATAGGGTTGCTCTGGAATTTTGGCTCCCTCTTACTAATGACTGCATTGGAATAGGATACATTGTGTTTGAACATTCCATAAGAAAAAACTGATACTCATTAGTAACTGGAGATTAGGAATCACAAATAGACAACAAGCACAGAAATAGTAATGTTGATATGCTTGAAGATATTACGGGTTCATCTTACTCAGTAAAAGGAACGAAAACCAATGATTCAGCGACACGATTTTCCCGGGCCCCGCTAATTAGAGGGAGAAGTCTTGATAAGACGCAGAGAGAATGTATTGACAGGCACCTAGAAAATACGATGTCCACAAGCACACTAATCAAGCTTATTTATACAATGATAAAACACCTTTGGTGATAGCCACAAAACAGCGTACTAAAACAATTCATCAACCAATGACAGTAAAGGATATCCCGAGTAGGAAATGCAAGCTGAAGGTCAACTGTGCGTCTTTGAGACGAAAACATAAAAAATTCAAAATTTCAGGAATAAATTACAACATTAGGACCTTTCTCAAGTGAATTCTGGGGATCTAACATCCCGAACAAATGTTCTTTACATGAACTAGTGTTTGCAAACAATCGTTAACACTCCCTTTTCTCTCACAAACTATGAACAAGACTATCTTTAGTTTAGTGTAATTGTCAAAAGATTTCAACTTTGATCTATAAATTCAATATTA